AGATTCTGAAAAGTTGCGTATAAAACATTCATTAAGAGTGGACGCGCACAGGTTAGATGGGATTACATTATCAGTATCGTCGATGAGGATTATTTTATTATCATCTTTCGAATGTATAACGCGCCAGAACTTTTTAGTGTCGGTTGTTAGCATTAAAGGTAACGTTTGCTGTTGAAATTCTTCCTTGGCTTTTTTTACTGCTGAGACATATTCGTCGGCAGCCTGTTTGTAAGGTATCCAGCGGTCATAATTTGAAGATCGCTTGGCTGATTTAAAAATACGTTTTTTTTTGTTTGACAAACGCTTGATGTGAAGATTGTACCATGGTGCGTTACGATTATGACGAACAGTATAAGTAGGGATGTATTTATTGGTTAGCTCGTTAACTTTCGCCAAATATAGATTCCAGTTAGCTTGTACGCTACGAAGATTGAAATCCTCCAAAAATATGTCAAGGAAAGCTGATAGTTCATTATTGATAGCTTCAAAATTAGCTTTTTTATAGTTTCGAAAAGTTTTCGACTTTTTAGGAGCTAAAGGTCTCGACAGGTTAACGTGAAATAAAAGGAGGGCATGGTCGCTTAAACCAGGCAAATAAGTAATGTCCGAAATGAAATCAGATCTAGAGGACAATACGAGGTCAAGGGTGTTAGCTGCCGACTGGGTGATTCTCGTAGGCTGCTTGACAACTTGTGTAAATGAAAAAACAGAGCAAAAGTCTAAAAACTCCTTCGCTAGAGAGGAGACAGGGTGCATCAGGGGTGGTTCACTGTTCCATGTTATGTTCGGGATGTTAAAATCGCCAAGCAAAAATAAAGGCAACGTGGGAAAGCGCGATGAAACAATGTTTGTTGCGTCGTGAAGCTCATTCACAAATGTGGAGGAATAAGTGGGGGGACGATAACACGCACCAACAATTAATTTTTGATGAGTTAGCTCAATGAGAGCCCACACAATTTCAAGGTTACTGGAAATATGAATGCATTACGATGGGAAGTCTTTGGAAATGGCCAGAAGGACGCCACCGCCCTGACGAAAGGTGCGGTCGCAACGATAAATGGAAAAATTATTAGCGCTCGAAAAAATTTCACAATCCCGAACATACGAGTGCAGCCACGTCTCGGTTAAAACTATTACGTCAGCATTGCAGGTGTCTATGGCAGAGGTTAAGGAATCGTGCTTGTTAACAATGCTGCGAACGTTAGAAAAAAGAAATGATACAGACGCTAAGTTTTGTCCACTGCCCCTCGCGTTTCCCTACGTGGTGGCACGTGCCTCGGTGCTTGGATGACGGTTCACTTGTGCCAGTAGTGGCGCATGCTCGATTACGCTATCACTCAGCAGATGGTAGACGTAATGCTTGTTGTTGATGATAACTTTGTTGTAACGCAGCTGGAAGGTGGGTGCGCCCGGTTGGTTTTTCGCAAACGCGATTAGCTTCTTACGCGCGAGTCGCGTGGCGGGCGAGAAGTCTTCACTGACCGTTACGTTTGTTGCTTTCAATTTTGTACGCGCGGAAAGTATATTCCCCTTTATTTTATAACTTGAAAATTTGACTATGATAGGACGGCATTTACTCGGCGAGTGGGTACCGAGACGATGAGCCCGTTCGATTACATTGTCAGGTAGGACGTCAAATAGGCCTGTTAAAACGCTTTTTATCTTCGCCTCGGACTGTTCCCATGACTCACGAGAATCAGGAATACCCCAAAAAAGCAGGTTGTCTCACCGTGATTGGTCCTCCAGCTCATCGAGGCGTGATTGCAAAAGGTTCTGCTGAGTGGTCATGGTCTCCACTGAACCATGGAAGCTGGACATATTTTGGCCAAAATCGTCAAAGGCGTTAGTTTTTTCTTCAACGGCATCTAGTCGTTTCTGAATGCAACAAATTTTGGTTTCAATATTTTTTTGGCCAGCCTTAATTGACTTTACGTCCGCAACCAACTCAGCTTGACTCTTTGCAGATTGCACTGACCGCGCGTGAAGGTCTTTCAGAAGGTGAAAAAGAACAGCCATTTGTTCTGAGGGCTCATCAGGCAAAGAATCTAACTCAAGCAAAGCCTCAGAACGGGTGACGGGTCCCGGGTTCATCTCTACGTCCCCAGAGCGCAGTAACAATAACATCATTGAGTAACATTCGCCAAGAGTTTCACACATGACCCGTGGGCACGGGAGCAGAAATAAAAAACGGTTGTCGTCTTTTTTAGCGAAGAGTGGAAAGCATTTACAAACCTGCGAAATGCAAAAGCAGGGCATGTGAGCCATGCTGTCGTTGTTGCTGCTTCCGTGCCCACTGAAGAAACGGTCGGTCTTCTGACAGTTTAAATTGGCTGCAGGAATTGATGTCGCTGTCGTTGATGCCGTCGCAGTGAAAAGGGGCTGATCCAGACGCGGCAAGTCCGAAAACGCACCGCTGACGGAGCACTGGTATCCACCACAATCTGGTGATTGCAGAAAAAGCGCCGGGTAGCTTGCTGACGCGTTCGTGCAGGGCGATGACCACAGCAAGAGGAGCGCCAGGAATGCCTGCGAAATGCAAAAGCAGGGCATGTGAGCCATGCTGTCGTTGTTGCTGCTTCCGTGCCCGTTGGTACTTTAGACGCGACGATGCAAATTACGAAGTAAAAGCGTCAATGCTGCACTGTGGTACCACTAAGAGGTCTGAGGATAAATAAATTTTATCCTCGCAAAATACAACCAAGAGGAAAGTATTATTCGGTTCACAGCCGGGATGGATTGTAGACATGACGTCGCAGAGCTGTTTATTGAAAATCCATCTGAACGTCGCCTTTATTTGCGCTAAATAAATACGGGATTTAAGTTCCCACCTAAATGCGCCATTAACGTGTAACATTTGTTCATAGGCAGCTCCGCTTTCTGGTTCCAATCTTTATAAAGGGAGAAAGGAAGAGAGACATTAATTTAGTCGTTTACAGATTTTTTTATGATATAAGCCATTGTTGATTGCCGTACGTTGTTCTATTTTATTTTTTAACAGTTGTCATAAGTATAAAGTTGTAGATGTTAAGTAGCCAGGTTAAACTGGAATTGGTATTCTGTACGCTATAACCATTTTAAATTGTTCAATTTGGTGCATAGAATTTCAGGCGGTGGAAAGTTAGTGGCCTGTAGAATAGCATATTGTGGCTGCGTCGTAATGCATATACGGCCAGTGGAGTACGACTGCCAACATGGGGTCTTTATGCGCGCATCATGCCGTGCTGGTTCCACGACCGCACGCTGCTATAGGGGGTATTCACTGGCGGCCATAGCCGTGTGCGTAACTGCTGAGCGCGTGCTCATGGCGAGCTTGATGGTGTGGAATGGAACGTGCATTCCACACCATCAAGATTGCCGGTCTTAGCAACCTAGTAATGTGAGTTCGTTCTGAGCATGCGCTCTAAACAGCACCCACAAATATGGCGTCCAGTGAATACTCCTTAATTGTGCTGCTCATCCAGATTAAAACGGTCAGGCGTGCCTTTAGAGATTTCTCGCTGGCTCATCCGTGAAATGTTCTGCTGTGTGCTTGGTCCATATTTGTACCCCCGCGCTGCTGTTTGCTGTTGCGTAGTAACATGATGCGCCGCTTCTTTGGCCCAAGCGACAGTGCCGGATGCCTGTGGCTGTAGGCTGGTAGAAAACGCTAGAGTTTGCGCAACAGCTTCTCGGTAGCGTCGCTGCTTTCGCTAGATGCGCCGCTTGCTCAGCGCCTCGCAACCGTAGCAGATGCTTTCGTGTGCGTGCTCCATAGCGTCCAGTGACAACCAGAGCCATTTTGCAGCATCGGAGCCCATCAAAGCGCGTCTGCTACTGAAGCCTGAACTTCTCGTATAGAAAGCCGGGAATGGCTGTTGCCCCCGGCGACTGCGTTTAATTCGAATCCGAATCCAATACTTTCAATTGGGATGGACGGCTTTTGTTGAAGCATGTAATCATCCCTACAGAGATCGGGTGAATGATTATTCATCACGCATTGCCAATAAACCAACCTTAAGCGGGTTTCACATGCAGCGATTTTGGCCCTAAAGCGGCGCGATTTCTGCCGTCGCGGCGCTCGTGCCGCAGAATTGCTGGTGCTGGCCAGAGCGCCGCGACGGCAGAAATCGCGCCGCTCTAGGGCCAAAACCGCTGCATGTGAACTAAGCTTTAGAGGTGCTGTCGCGGAACGGAGCGGAAAGACTTTGTTGAAATTTGTACTGCGCACTCGTGATTTCAATGCCTTTGGTGCATTCCAGATATAAGTGTCAAGATTTTTCGCTCCAACTGATTTAGGAAACTTCCCTCTAAAAAGTTACAGTGCACCTAAATTCCCGCAGAGCACTCGGGCCACCAATCACGGCGAACGGCGGAAAATCGGAAAATAAAAAGATCACAAAAAAGTCTACACATAAAAAAAATTAGGGCTGAGATGTGACAATTATCATGACACTTCACTTGGTCACGTCATAGTCAGTGTCACATCGCAGACTTCGATTTCGAGTCTAACTTTTTTTTTCCCCCGACCTTTTGATCCGCCGAGCTTTGTTGGCAGTGACTGGACCTCGAGTACTCTGCGAAGAAAGCGAAAACCCCAACTTATCTTACCATGAGCTGTGCGGTGCCAAAAAGGGAATGTATTTGATCAATAAGGCAACCCTTTGCCACCGTAGCTCCATCGAATGGCGGCTACTCGGGGCCGCTTACCTCTTGTCACTATCGTTTCGCTTAGACCGCATGGTCGTAGGCGCGGTCCGAGGAGACCGCAGTCTGTGTGCAATACCATTTAGATGACAAGTAAAGAGCATTTGTACTCCAAACGTCATCGCTAATGAATCCACGCAGAACCAGCCAGTTTGCGTAAGCATCGCCGCCAGCGTGTTTGCCGCTTGGGGCAAGTTGGGGACCCATTAGCGATGACGTCACGTTCAGGCCTTGTCTTCTAGGTTGTGTTGCGTGGGCCGTCCGGGCCGTCATCATTCATGTTCTGTCCTCCCCTTGCCCCTCTTTCCCCTCCGTAGTTCCGTCATCTGGTGGCGGGAAAATTTCAGAAGGACGAAACGCTAGATGAAAGGAAGACAGCCGTTTTGCATAGGACGCTTACCGGTGGTTCCCTTGACAAAAGCGCCAAGGTAAGATGCTTCCCCATTGAACAAAACAAAACTGTTGTGTTGTACCGACTATCTTCTCTACATGTGCGTGTTCCTATATTCATATATAAGCTGGCTATGAGGGATCATCGAAGGAAACAACAACGCCGCTTCCAAAAGTTGCACTTAGCGCCTTGTCGAGTTGTTGATCGTTCCTGCGTGCGAGCACTTTCTTTCGTGACTTTGTAACGTGCTGTCAATCTTGGAAAACTTGGCTCGACCGTGTGGAGCGTACGTTACGTACATACATCACAGATTGTTGTTTTTTCCCTGTGGACTGCCGGAACTGACTGACTTCACTTGTGACGCTGTGATCCCGGTTGATTGGTTGGGTGTGCCCGATGTCGTATGCTTGTCGCTCGAGATGTTGCATCGTCATGCCTGTTGGTATTCAGACATTCAGATTCATATGCCCTAACCTAAAGTGTTTTTTTTTTTAATTAATCACAAGTTTTTTTTGTTTTTGTTTTTTTATTTCTGTTACGTCAACTTGCAGTAAAGCTTTGTGTCATCCCATACAAATAGGTGTTGGTATCGATATCTTAGAGGCTTGATACGGAGACCTGCGGCTCTAAACTCGTTGAGCACGAAGTTCGGGCCGAAGTTGACGGAGCGCACCGATTGGCCTATCATGACGATGACTTGGCGCTTTTTTCGTCGACGTCCAATCGGCGCGCTCCGCGAACTTTCGCCTCCAACTTTGTGTTTGACGAGTTTAGGGCCCCTGTAGGTAACGTTTACTTATACCTAGTTTCTTCCTCTTTTTTTATAATAAAATATTGGCGTAGGTGCGTTTTCAAACAAAAAATTAGGTAAGGTATTTTAGTGTATTTATTTTTTTATAACGAAACGATTAGCGATTTTCTGTTACTTTTGGAGGAAAACGTGTACAACACAAGTACCCAACTTAGGTCTTACTCCAGCTCAAGTCTGTAACGTGCACGACTAGAGAACGCTATACTTCGTCTCACCCTACGATGGACTAAAGGCAGAAGCTACGGACCGCCAGATCCAATCACGAGCCACTTACAAGTTGCGTGGTATCTCTTCGATGCGCGTATCGGCACCCGCCTCCCGAATCACTAATGGGGAGGGGCGAACGGTAGTTTGGATTGAATAGCACTGAGTGACTCAACAATTTTACATTGCAAAGAAAGCTATGTCACATAGGCTCTTTGCATTGTCGAAGCTATAAAAATGATGCAGCGCTTTTCGACTCGGAGGATCATTCGTCCACCCCTAACCAATGCTAAGTGTGTAATATTTTAGCTTGCAACGTGATTGGACGTTGCGGCCCGTGGCTTTGGCCTTTAGTCCATCGTAGGATGAGACGAAGTATAGACAGTCCATAGCATAATACGCACAGTGTGTATACCAGCACAGCCACAGTTATCTCCGAATGAACGCGTTAGAAAGCGAGGAACTATTAACGACGACATATATTAGAAGCGGCTACTGCTTCATAAAGACGACACATTCGGAGTAACTAATGAACGAGACGTTACTTTGGAACTGAGGTAACACTTTCCTTTCGGACCGCACTAACGAGTAATGTACCTATATGTTACCTTTTCAGTGAGGAACGTGAAACGGTATTCAGTTACTTTATTTCAGTAATCTGTACATATGTTTGCTTGATGCCGCTCAAGTCTTCGGAGTCGCTTTTGGCAGCGCTTTCTCGCCCTAGTTAGAGATAGGCACATTATGATAAATGACTTTAAAGAAATATACTAAAAGAGCGTAATCGGTGGAAATCTAGGTCAAACCGCTCGTAGGGTCATTGATTGTTAAAAAGCACTGGTCTTGGAACGCTTTTACCTTATATCTTGATAGAGAGCAATGAAACTGCGCAACTTTGCTCAGCTTGTTCGTGCTTATTTCAAATATCTCCTTATGTTTTTTGTTTTTTTTTCCCGTTGGTAAATTTGTACCTAAAATAATTAAAACTCGTATAATTTTATTTACAGTAACTATAGGGAATAACTGCTCGGAAAATGTTACGTTTAACTTATGGCTAGATACTACAAAGTATAAATAATGCAATGTTGGAAGTATACTTTTGAGATTCTACAATTATTAGTGATTTTTACAAAACAGGGAATCGCACTTGCAGCGTGTAGCTGCCACTAAACCTAATAGATCGATGAAGAAATTTTCCAGAACTTTATTGAAGAGTCTGCTTTCCAACAGCTATGTCTGAAAATTTAGCTACATGTTCTAAAAAAAGTTATATTTCAATCTGCTTGAGATACTGACATACCTCTCCTGTATATTGGCAAAAAGTTAAACAAAATTATCTTTTGAGAAAGCGCTCTTGTCGTGTCACTTTCGGTGCAGATTCAACCCGCATAGGTATTGATAACTGACATTGTGGCTCAAATATTGATCCGCAAAAGAACAGACTTTCCAGGTGACAAGAAAAATAACTCTGAAATCACCACTTTCCAAAATATTATTTTTGTATACATTTTTCGGGTACCATAGCGCATGTCTCCCCTTAAAAGGATACCGAAATTAAAAATGAAATACACCTCTCTCGTATATAAATCAGATTTTCCACGTTTGTATTTTGAACGGATGGCTATATTTTTTCATTCCAAATGGCCGATTCCAATGAGCACTCGAAGAGCGGCCATCGGAGAGCGCGATGCCTCTTGGGAGAACCGGCGCCCACAGCACGTTCGTGACGTCAGGATTACCTTCACAGGCAAAGCTATAGTGGGAAGCTGGCGCGGTTGTGAGCCTCGCCACTTGGTGGCGTCAACACGTTACCGCCTGGCCATTCGGGATTCCCGCTCCCCGTTCCCCTCAGGAGTTGAATAAGGTGGATTCACACGAGCGAGAAATCCCGAGGATTTCTTCCCGACGCGTGCATAACACGACGAAAACGTCAGGCTTTTGCGATGCGGCGCTATGACGTCAGCTACACGGCAGGGGGAGGGAGGGGATTTCGGGCGGCACAAACAATCCTTTTTTGGCGGCAGTCTGTTTTCGGTTATATCGTGCCGTTAAACTACTTGGCGTCAAATGTAGAACTCGCTAAATTCGTCTCCGGTGGTGCCAAGTGTGTAAACCGCTCGAATGGATGGCAAACGCTGACATCCCTTCCCCTGGCACTTCGTCGAAGTGAACGACGAAGCCGAGGAACAAATTTCGTCTGCTGTTGACGTCACGCACATCCCTGCGTAGTTTTCTCTCTCGTGTGAACACCTAGAGTCACTATATAAGCTACGCTTCAGAGTAACGACACTTACCCATTTTGGGGCTTAAAATCATGGTCGCCACTTATCTGAAGTTTTATCTGAAGTCACAGGAAACGCTCTTCCGTCCTCCATAAACGTTTAAACAGTTCGCGACAAAGCAAAGCATTATTACTCGAATTCCCTAACACCGAATCGAATACTGAGGAAGTCGCACTTTTGAATTATGCCGACCGGCAGTTGCGTCTGCTCTGCACTAAGTACCACGATGGCGGCGCCCACAACAATGTCGGGGAACAGGGTGTCGTTACCCTAAGCGTAGCTCATTTAGTGGCTCTATGAATACCCTTGATAGGCGCGGGAAAGAAGTGAAATCCGGCTCGGCCAACTTAGGACAGGGCTAACGAGCGCACGCAGCTTGCCGCCGTACTTCTGCGGAACGGCGCTGATTTTATGTGTAGTTTGACGCAACGACATTCGGTATATTCGTTTGAACTAATATTTTTGGTGTCTTTTCGAGCGTAAATTTGGTAGTACATCTCTGCCGTGTCCAGGACGCGGTTGACATTTAGACAATAAAATAGGCACCACAATTTCGTTGCAGTATTCCTCTATGCAGTCACTAACTGTAGGTGCAGGCTATTTCCATGTCGTTTAAGAGTGTTAGCGATGACGGTTGAACCAATTACGATGAGGTTCGATTAAACTGTTTATTTAATTAAAACTTTGAGGGATACACAAATGGGCGATTATATAAGGGTTACAGTTCTAGAGCGGTGCTGCGTCTCGCTCGGCGTCGTCCGATGGAATGCCCTTTCTCCGTGGGCGAGGGCGGTCGCCTCCGACGCTCAGCGTCGTCCGATGGAATGCCCTTTCTCCGTGGGCGAGGGCGGTCGCCTCCGAAGCTGTTGCTTGCGGGCACGCACGCGGGGCTCGGGTTTCACGGCAGAGAGGCCCCGTCTTGGGGGCCCGGGCATTCTCCAGGGACCGTATAGCAACTTCTGTCTGGGAGCAGCCGGGGTCGAAGGCCACTTACGAGCTTTTGCATTCTTTTCTTATTTAAATCGCTTGATCGTTAACACTCGGCCTTCCTACTGCACAACCGCCCCCGGTTGGAGTCTTGTCGGAATATGTCCCCGAAATGAGCCTCCGAATCTCAAGTCGCATTTTGCGTGTCTTCTTCGCACTCCGAGTCCGGCGACTGGTTGTCGTCGCTGCCCTCGTCACAGGGAACGAAACGCTTCATCTTGTCAACAGCTGCTATTCCGTCGTAGAAACGCTGTGAGCGTTGAGTCTCGGGGAGGTCCTGCACTCTGCACCTGTCGTGGGGCAACTTCTCCACAACAATGTACGGGCCTCTATATTTTGGACGCAGTTTCCGTGACTCTCCCGTTGCGACTGGCTCTCGTTCGAGTAACACCATATCTCCTGGTTTGTAGACAGGCGCAGCTACTCTTTTCTTGTTGTAATGTTCTCTCTGCTTTTCTTGGTCTTGGCGTATGTTCTCTATTGCCTTTTCCCGGAGCTTGAGTACAGTAGAGTTGAGCTCGTGCGCGAGCGCGCTGTCGACTTCATCGCCTGTTACGTTTCGGGGGCAAAAGTTGAAAAGCAGACTGAAGGGCGTCGCTTTGGTCGCTCGGTTCAGCGTGTTGTTGATACCCCACTGGAGCTGGGTCAGGGTTTCGTCCCAGTCCTTTCCATCGCTCCGTTTTGAAAGGCTGGCAATGGCGGGTGTTATCATTCTGTTATATCTCTCGACCTGCCCGTTAGCTCGGGGCGTGC